GACGAAGAACAAACATCTGAAATCGAAAAAGGAAGTCTAGTTAAAGCCAGAAGAGCAAGCTTTTCTGCAGTATCCAAGAACGAGTGCATTTTCTGTGATAAACCAAACAACTCTTCAAACCATCGTGCAGCTTCAACGCTTGAGACAGACGGCAAGGTTAGGGAATGTGCTGTTTTGCTTATCGACAGACAACTTATAGCAAAAGTATCGAATCGTGATATGGTAGCAATGGAGGCGAAGAACCATCCTAAGTGTCTTATTTCTCTCTATAATCGAGCAAGGGAAATAAAGGCTGAGACGTCAACAAACGCTGAACGTTCAGGACAAAACTTGATGGGCTAGCGTTTGCTGAACTTATTGCTTATATTGAAGAACGACTAGAATCAGAGTGTTTAGTTTTGCTTAAGATGACGGAGCTGACAACATATTTTAAAATGAAGTTGAAGACATTAGGAGTTGAAGGTGGATCAATTAATACTACCAGACTTAATGAAAGAATCTTGACTGTTTTTCCCAATCTTACTGATCAAATCAAGGAGGAGGCACTATACTTGTATTGAAACATGAAATTGGAAACGCTTTTAAAAGGGCAAAGGAAGAATATTCGGAAGCATGACATTTAGCAAGAGCGGCTATGATTATAAGAAGAGATATATTTCAAACAAAGAACTCATTCAACGGAAAATTCTCCGAAGATTGTCAAAATGATTCTGTTCCAGCATCATTAAAAGTTGTTAAGATATGATACTTAAAGGAGCCATTGAAAACAAACAACCGGCAGAAAGAGATCCAAATCAAACTGGCTTAACCATCTCTTAACAAATTGTCTTCAGACATTTTAAATGAACGACGAGTTTTTTTATCGTAAACATGTTTCGGCATGCTTATGCCATCTTCAGTACATAGAGTGAAAGTAATTATGCTATTTACATGATATATATATATGTATAAAAGATAAAAAGTTTCTCCGGATTTTAAATGATTTTTATTGAGCTTTCGACTCGTTGCTTCGAGCCTTCATCAGAATGAAATCGAGCTACAACACAACTAGACAAAAATGACATCCTAGACTTACTCAACCTTTGCCTCTCCACTGAATTCACCTTCCAAAACACATACTACAGACAAATTTCAGGCACACCAATGGGATCACCACTATCCACCTTCCTCGCAGAAGCTGTCATGCAACACCTCGAAACACAATCAGTCACAAACAACACAAGCATCAGACTATGGAAAAGATATGCCGACGACATCTTTGCCATAGTCAAGAAAGATAATACTGAACAAATCCTACACACCATAAACAATACCACAAAAAACATTATCTTTACTAAAGACGAAGAACACGACAAACAACTTACCTTCCTCGACATCCTACTAACGAGAACAGATGACGGTACACTAAACACACAAGTATACCGCAAAACCACCCACACAGACCAAATACCCAACTTCAACAGCAATCATCCAACACAACACAAAATAAGCTGCATTCGAACACTTTTCAACAGGATAAACACTCATTGTAATACGGAAGAAGCCAAAAAAACAGAACGCAACTACTTATACTCCACATTTATTAAAAACATTTACCCTAGAAACTTCATAAACAAAACTATATACAAAATACAAAACAAAACACAAACCGACAAAAACAGCAAAAAACCGGACGAAACAGTAAAAATCGTCACATTACCATACATAAACGGAACATCAGAAATGACTGCCAGACTTCTTCGACCATTTAATATTAACGTCGCCCACAAACCTACACAAAAACTCAAATCATGTTTCACCAAACATAAAGACAAAACAACAATTCATGATACAACTGACGCGATCTACATGATACCATGTAAAGACTGTTCAAAACAATACATAGGACAAACATCTGAGAAAATTGAAACAAGACTCACAGAACACAAAAACGCCATTAAACGACGAGATCCGAACTCATTACCGGTAGAACATACCCACGGAAACAACCACACATTCGACTGGACAGAAACTAAAGTACTCGGACGCGCACAGACTAAACACGCACGCGAATTTAAAGAAGCCTGGTATAGTAAAGACAACGACACAATAAACAGACATATCGACATACCCATCTTATACTCACAACTAAAGAAAAAGGACAAAAAACTACAAACAACACCAAAACTAAAACACTACACTCTAATATTATTAACACAAATCATATTAATGTTTTATGCAGTGCGGTGTTTGAAATTAAATGAAGATATGATCTTCGCACTTTTGCTGGACAATTTAAGCAATCGTCTCAGGACCTGAAAAAATCAGGTGACTCAACGGGATTCGAACCCATGACCTCTGCGGTGCCGGTGCAGTGCTCTGACCAACTGAGCTATGAAGTCACACAGTGGTGAGCAGGTCAATATTGTTGGCTCATGTTTTCTCGTGAAAGGAATGTCGTATGAATGTTTTATGCAGTGCGGTGTTTGAAATTAAATGAAGATATGATCTTCGCACTTTTGCTGGACAATTTAAGCAATCGTCTCAGGACCTGAAAAAATCAGGTGACTCAACGGGATTCGAACCCATAACTATGACCAATCATATTAACAATACACCAAAACCCATGGCAACGCATTTCACCCCATCCAATCACATTAATCCACCCACTAATCCAATTAGGAGCTCTAAACGTCTCCAAGCTAAAAGCACGTGTAAATAAATATCCTCATTCTGATGAAGGCTCGAAGCAACGAGTCGAAAGCTCAATAAAATCATTTAAAATCCGGAGAAACTTTTTATCTTTTATGTATTCCTATGCCTGGATTACAAATTTTCAAACTTAATTATATATGTGTATGTGACTATTGTTCTTACCTCTCTCGCGAAATCCTAGGTTTCCAATTCAAATTTAACTCGAGAAATAATGCCTTAATTGTGTGTATTTTTGCCTGATGTTTGATCGCCATTGTGTACATGCAAGCGAAGCCGCAGTCCAGCAGCGGTTTCTCGTCGTTACGTCACTGCGCGGTGATCGTTGTCAACATTAGACAAAATATACTAGCAAAAGTAGAAATTACGCATAAGCATATTCGTCGTTGCATTTTATTTTCTAAGTTTTTAAATTATTTTGCGCAATGGATACGGATTACTCAAACGATTCCTCTAGTAATTATTCTGGAAGCAGTGTTTTAAACTACGAAGAAATGATTAACGATCAAAACATGATTCAACCATATGCTTATGAGCCGATTGAAACAGACTCTAGCGACGAGCCTATGGACGACTCCGACGAAGTTCAGCTGTTGTAACAATGAATGAAGACTCTGCACAATTTGAGGGATTAGATACTCCGGACTGTATTACAGATAATCCTGTTTTTCGAAATCTTTGTTTAAATTATTGGGTATTACGACTGGCATGGAGTGAGTACAAACAACACTATGGTTCAAGAGCTGAAGAAGGACCTGAACACAAAAGACAAAGACATGTGGCTTACAGGCAACTGGTTCGATGGTGTTGGAATGTATTGGGCAAGGAAATTAGAGTACAACTACCATCTTTTGCTGTTAGCTGCATTCGAGCACATTTCCAACCACCAGGTCTAGAAGAGGACTTTGTCTTTGAGGGTTTTAAATTCGCTGATGAATAATGATGGTAATTTAAATTATTATAGCCATATTTATAATTATCGTTAATGATGAATTACTAATAAATAAAAATATAAATTGGATTTAGTAAATGAACAATAAATACAAATTATAACAGATAAAAGCCGATCGTACGAGATGCACAATCCCAACTTGAAAAAAGCGTCGATAAGTGATTTGTCTCTTGTAGTTCCATGAATTTTGAGGGACTTGTATATTGGTACCGGACATTCCTTTTCTCTAGTGTGATGAGGTCTTGACGCTTCACGCTCGCGTGAAGTGCAATTGAAGACAACTCTCCTTTTTCTCTTTAACTGAAAGAAGCGCTCTACAGCAAAAAGCTCAAACCAGACCTCAACAAACAAATATACCACATTAATACAATATTTAACCTGTAATATAATATCTAACACTAATTCTGCAATTTAATACACTTAAAGGAGTAGTCAGACCTTAACACAACTTTCACTCATATGAAAGTTTATATTGTTCTCCGACATAGCTAATAAAGTAATAGCAAGGTACGAGAGTGATGACGTTGTTTGTCCGTCGAAGTTACGGAAACGATTGTTTACAACTGCAGCAGTTGACAACATAGATCATAATCCCATCTCCACAAGTGCACAAGACTCTTTCCACGGTACAGCAATTTTGCTCGTGCAGCATCCAACAGTTCATGAAAATGGTGAGAGTAGAGAAGTAGATTTATTTGATTCGATGTAAATGCGTGAAAGCACACTTAGTTTGTACTGGTTTGTGTAATTGTGGGGGTGATTGTCAATAGCATGATGGCATTAAAATCATTTTTATATTATTGTTCTTGGTTAGTCGCTTTTCCAATGTATTTAAGAAAGAGCAATAACACTAAACAAAAGTGCTGAGTCAGCACTTTTGAAACACTTTTAATGTAGAATATTTCACAATGTATTGCTCAAAAGCAAAAATTGTAATATAGTTTTTCTATCGTCTTTAGCTGTTGTATAAGAATAAACAGAGAAATTGCGATGACTCCGAACTTTTGTTTTTTTACTACTGAAAACGTCATCAAACAGGACATGCGCAGAACGCGTCGCAAATGTAAAATATGGGCTGGCCCTATATCAAAATTTTGTGTTTTGAGGCATGGTAAGACTATAAGAAAGTTTTACCCTTGTATCATTCAAGTGAAGAATTTTGTCATTAACAGCTGTACTAACCACGTATCAGCTGTACTAACCTATCAGCTGTACTTAACAGCTGTACTAACAGCTGTCATTAACAGCTGTACTAACCACGTATCAGCTGTACTAACCTATCAACTGTACTAATACTATAATTTACAGTATTTTGTATGGTACACTTCATGTAATATATGATGAAGTAAACTGTGAGTCAGAGCCATTTTGAAGTTAACGGTTGTATTTAACCATTCAATTTTAACACAAATCTGCAATTTTATGAAGAAGAAGGAAGAAGTAGGCGTTGAGGTGAAGAAATAGACGTTTTGGTCAATCATTTGGTGAGTTAAATTGTAAAAGTCATTTACAGATTTCTTGATAATAAATATTGTCCATTCCGACCATTCGTTATGCACCAATGTAATAGTTGTGAGTAGATTACAGATGTATCTGACTATCTGTAGGTCATAGATGGTTTGATATTATCAGTAAACTTTGTGTATGTTTTCTTGATTTGGCAATAACCCATTCAACTCTAGTTGCGTTTTATCATATGTCTCGGCTGCCATCAGTGGCATGTTGAATGAATTTAGCAAAGGGTTTTCTTGTTTACAATTCACATTTGAAGTTCAAAGAGCATGACAAAAACTTCTGTGTCCTTAGGCTCTTGCAAGCCACCTATATATGATTTTTTCTTAAGTTTCTGCTGCTTTTTATCTTTAATTAGAAGCTAGTGCATAATATTAAAAAAAACTAATGTTTAGAATTATACTAAAAAACCCCTAAAATATTTGCTCATTTAGTTAAAGAGATTACCCGAGTAAAGAAATTCTCTTGTGAATTCTTATTATAAACTTTATCATGTAAATATGATCAGTTCTATCTGCTACAAACACTCATTGTATTTTGTATAAATTCTTCTTTCCAGTTTCTATGTACATAGCTCATTTGACCAGGTCATCAGACTTTCAACTGCAATTTAAACTTAATACTTGTTAAAAAACAAATGTTAATTTGGTATTAAAAATAGATAAACCACACGACTTTCATGTAAGTATTGTTTTGCCCAAGGCATCATTTTAACTGTGCTTTTCCATTCCTAGTATTTTTTGTTCAGTTGTAATAAAATGTACAGCAACCTTAAGTATACATAAATCTTCAAACACAAAATTTTAGTATACTTCTTTATTCCTAATTTGGTGAATAAACAAAGTGTGTTGTTTTTTACATTGCTTGCAAAAAGCTAGCTGCCAATGGCCAAAACTAGGCCATACATTTTCAAGATGGTAATCAAAAACAAAATAGCATGCAAAATTCTAGACATTTGCTGTGTTTTTTTCTTACAACAACTCCAACTTTCAATAATTTTTGTAGCGATTGCAATGGAAACAAACAAATGAGCCAGGTTGAATGTAATAAAATTTTGGCAGTTGGCCAGCTATACAAAAGTTCAGGTCATATTTTTTTACTTCCAGCCCTGGTTGGTTAGGAAATGTTTTTTTATTTCTATCTGAACTTTATCATACTTCCACAAGAAGTAAATTGATTTGCATCAGCCAAAGAGCATTGGGCTTTTTACTTGTCAATCCTCACAGGCCTTTTAGGAATGTAGACATGTCTAAGTGTCATGGAGAAAACCAAATTTAAGAAATAAAAGATATTTAATAATTTAGTGTTTTTGCACAGGCTTATGAAAGCTGAGGCAACCTTTTAAAGAACTCGATCAGCGCAAGCCTGAGACTGAAGGTCAAGGTTTACACCTGCTAGAGACTTTTAACAAACTTCTCTAATGTTTGCATAAGCCAATGCCAACACAGTATACATTTTTTATAAAATGGCAGTAATACGCAACAGATAAATTTAAAAACAAACGTTTAAATTTTCCTTCTTTTATGTACATATTCATGATTAATTTGCAAATTCTTTATAAGGTGCATATGTCATAAAATTGTTTCTTGTTTCAGAAAAAAGATCTTCATAAAGTGTAATGGACTTTCTTTTTAACATTGATATTTGCATTCCAATGTTTGGAGATATTGAAGTGTTTGTGATTTGTCAATAAGTTCCTTTCGTTCCTAGTTAACATATCATAAATAACGAAGGATTTTCCTTAATGCAAATGTAATCCATCATGGTAAACATTTGCATTGTTCTCTTGCCCCAAGGAAATGGTTGCACACCATCTATAATAAATATGTTTATTAGGAAACAACTGAACATGCATTCCATAATTTTCATATCACAAAAACTTCAATAAATTCAAAGCTAAGCATGCAAACAATGTTAAAAAGAATGTCCATTGCAGTGTTTGGAGATATTTTATTTAAAAAATTTCGCAACATAGTTACTTTAATTAATTGACCTCACATCAGATTGCACAAGCTAATGCAAGCACATCTATCGAACATGCAATCACCGCACGCGTTTTGTTGTTTTTATTTATGATACAAAATAACTCTGGCTTAACTCCCGCGTATTTAGATGAGGCCATCCAAACACGGAAATCATTTTGTAATTGTTTATGTTCAACACTGCAAATGAAACATGCATGTTGGTTGAATTAAATGAAGTAGCAGGCAGGGTGTGTGTGTAAATTAAATGAAGTAGCATGCAGTGTGCAGGGAGGGTTCTTGGGCACTTTCTCTTAAAAACGTTACGCATCTTACGATTTATTTTGTTAACTTATAAGTGTTATGAAGAGGAATAATGCAATTTTTCACTTTAACTGAAATAGAAAAGGCTCTTCCTTTTTTTATATTTGCAATTCATGTGCCCACAGCAAGGGCGGTAACAATCAAGGTTTGAAATCCCAGAAAAATTTGCCATCATCAACAAATGGTTGAAGCTTATAAAAAGTGTAGTTATTTTTGTTTTTTAATGTTTATAATGACTAACATACGTATTGTTGCACTCAAAATTAGATAATAATTTGCTTCAAGTAGCACATTTAAGCATAATTCTCGTCTGACATGTCCGTTTTTGTCAGCATTTACCGTTTAAATATCTTAACTTTTGTATCTTTACAAACATTCAACATCACATGTATTCATTAAACTGTTGTATTTGTGCATAAAACGTTCTAACGATGTGGAAAAATGATGATCTTTAAAATGTCATTATGCTCTGTGATGACATAACGATGTTATTTGCATAATGAGTAAAGTGAAATATCTCTAGAAAAAACTGCCTGTCAGTTCTACTAAAGCGGTTATGAAGTCTTTTTATATGTTCTTTCCAATACAATCAAAAAAAATTTGCGATAAAATTTTTTGTCATAAACACTTTAAATTTTCTTTAGGGAATTAGAGCTTTTTTACGTCATTTTCACGATTACATTGTGAGATGCGTATGCGCACGCCCATTCTTTTATTTTTAGATTTGGAGCACTTTCAACTTTTGACAAAAGGGGTCACATATGACATTCTTGTGTTTGAGTGTTTCTTTTTAAATATTTAACCTGTTTCCAACACGTATTGATGTATTGTAGCAGCTGCGTTTATGACAGACACACCGAGTAAAAATAAAGTAAAACAGCCAGAAGAAAATTTCGGGTGAACCTGCGTTTGATCCCAATGATATATTACTTATGACTGCAATTGTTCATAACGTGCAATGCAAGGACATTTGCAAGAGCATCCTAGGTATTAAAATACACATTATTTTTGTGTTTCTATTGTCTTATGGCTATTGGGTGCAATATGTGTACGAGTCATACTTCTGCCAAACGGACTTGTCTTTACCACTTCTTTAACCCTTTAACTTGTGGTTTCATGAGCTCGATAAGTTGGCAGGGGCAATATATGTTCGTTTTATGCTGCATTAAGTTCCTTTCACAGCTAATGTTTTCTGCAGTTTATAACTAACATGCATTTATGCATATTGCTGCCCAATTATCAATGCTATCTACGCCACTGCCTTTAGCCAATATTGATTTCTTTTGTTATACCCCGCCAAGAAAACAGTTGTCTTCCACTGCCTCTGTTATGATAGCAATCACTAGACTATTTTAAAAAGTGCGTTTGTTTTTGTTCACTCGTTCACAAATAAATGGTAGTCCAAATTTGGATTTTTATACTGAAGTAAATGCTTTTAAATTGTTTTCTAGGCCGCCAACTTTTTGCGGATTGCAATTATTTTTGAGTAATGAGAAGACTGTCAATTTTACTCTCGATTTCTGTAGTTTGATGAAATGGCTTCACCGCCCAAAAAACTGAAGATTGAGGCAAATGGATCTCGTTTGAGCAAACTTTTAATTAATAAAGGTACACAAGGTATGAAATATACATTGCAATGTTTTATAAACCAATCAAATTTGCCTGCTCAACTGAACGATGCTGTCAACAAGAATACATTGAAATCTTTAAAATACAAAGTCATCAGCCGAAAGCAATGGGACCTTCTTTACCCTCCAACTGGTTCACCAAATATTGAAAACTTTGATATCTCATTATTGACTGTCTTATTGCGAAATATATGTGGTCTAACAGCGCCATGTAGTGGATGGGATAATCTGCCTCCACCTTCAGACAACTCAGTTTCAGCAAATGTTGCAAGAATAAAGTTTTATCGAAACAAAGTGTACGGTCACATTACCACAACTAGTTTGGATGACAATGAGTTTGAGCTCTTGTGGCAGGAAATTTCAAAAGCGTTGGTTGGTCTTGGTATTCAACAAACTGAAGTAGATGAAATGAAGGAAGCTCCTCTAAGTCCAGATGAGGCAAATTACATTGAAATGTTAAGAGGCTGGTATACCAAAGAACAAGAATTAATCGAAATGGCTGAGAAGACCAAAATTATCGCTTTAAATACGAATGAGAAAGTTGAAGAAAACAAAAAAGTTGTTGAAGGAATAAAAAATGATGTAGCTAGAATCAAAGAGGAAGTAATAGCAACAAAAGCCGACATAGCGGGAATAACGTTTCATGAAATAACTTCTTCAGATGTCGAAAAGCTTGGAAAGTGTAATTTCAATGGTCTGATAAAAGATCTTAACAAGAAATACTCTCAAGGCACTAGACAATGGTTATTTGAAAAACTTAACGCTTGGTTTAACGAAAAATATGAAGATGCTTCTAATGTCATGGTTTGGATCGCTGGTCCTGGTGTCGGTAAAAGTGTATTTTCAGCTGAGGTGTGTCGAAGATACTCTGAGAAGAAGAAGCTTGCTGCTTGTCATTTCTGCAAGTATAATCGATCAGACTATAGAGATCCTCGAATGTTGGTAGAGTCATTGGCCAGTACCATGTGTGATACAATATCTGGTTTTAATTCTAAACTGAATGAAGCATTGAAGAGAAACCATTCCAAAGCATCAATCGCTGATGCATTCCTTGTTTTGTTAAACAATCCATTGCATTCTCTGAAAGATCATGAACCAATGCTTTTGGTCATTGATGCATTAGATGAAAGTCAAGTTAACGGCAAAAGTGAATTATTAGAATTGATTGCAGAGGAATTCGGCCAACTACCAAAATGGATTAAAATCTTTATCACTAGTCGTCCAGAACTTCCCCTTCAAAAGCAATTGAAAGAAATGAATCATATGAAAATAACAACTCAACCTCGTGATAGAAACAACGAAGAAGATCTGCAAAAGTATTTGAAATATCAATTAAACAGTTGTTGCTCTGGGAACTCTAATTTTTTTGTTTCTGACTACGTTTTAGGATTGTTAGTTGAAAAATGTAAAGGTTCTTTTCTTTATGCTTATCACGGACAAGCAGAGCTGAAGAGGGAAAATATTGAACTTACCAGCGAGAGTATTAAAGGATTAGTCCCTCACGGCTTAAGTTGTTTCTATAAAAAAGAATTTCATCGAGTAAAAGCGTCATTAAAGAAGATAAGTTTTTCAACGCAGAGTGTTGTTTGGGCAGATGAAAACTTTGAGAAATTTCTTGTTGTGTTAGTAGCCTGTGGAGACTTCTTGCCGTTGTGGATTGCTTATGAGTGTTTAGGTTTTCCTGATGACATCAATTTTGAATATATCAATAACATCATTGAAACGATTTCTCAAATTTTGCCAGTTTACGATGATTGCTTAACCGTGTATCACAAGTCTCTTATTGATTGGTTGAAATCAGATGGTTATGAAAGACATGAATTTACAGTTGATTCTCAGTCTATAGTGAACGGACATCAGTCACTTTGGCGTGCTTGTGAGAAAGAGTTTCATCACATTAAGTCCTTAAACATTTTTGAAGATCAAATAAACACTGCTATGAATAAATATACTTTGAAGAATGGGATATATCATATGATAGAATGTGGCATAAATGTCGACTACAGTTGGGCAGTAGATGTTAAAATTGTGTTTTTAATCTTAATGATGACATGCATTAACGGTATAGAAGGCCAGTGGCTGGAAATTGTCAGGAAAAGACCAACTTTCTTGAGCAAAGATCTTCAAGAGGAATTTTTAAGCCATATCATGATGGTCAGTTTTCACCCTTTTGTGTGTGATTTCCATTTATATTATTTACAATTTATTGCAAATAGAATTGACTGGAGGGACGAAAAGCGATCTTTGGCAAGGAATTTATTACAACAAGGAAAGTTTGTTTGGTTTGAGGATTTAGAGTCGACATATCTATCAAAGAATCATCATTCGACTATCTCCTTGCGTGCTAACGTCACATCTCTTTGTTTGTCGTCCAATAAAGAACTCCTTGCAGTAGGATATGAAAATGGTCAAATATCTATTCTTGAGCTTCCTGAATTCAATGAACGATGTACTCTCGGCTCTGTACTTAACGATTTGAGATCAAAACAACATGACAAGAAACACACATTTCCTGCCTATATCAAATATTGGCAGTATGTAATCAACTCACGTGCGGATACATCAGTGAATTTTGGTTTAGTACCTGGAAATATCCGTTGTTGTTCCTTCTCACCCACAAACAATAAATTGGTAACTTGTGATGGATCCACTGAAGTAAAGCTTTGGGATGTCTACAATGGATGTTTATTGTCATGTTTGCAATCAGGAGGAGACGTTGAGCGCTGTGTCTTCTCGGATTCTGGATTGTTCATCGTAGCAAGTCACATGGATCAACCTGAAGATATATTCACTGCATGGAATGCATCAACTCTGCAAAGAATAGATCCACGCACCGTTGAAATCACGCATCAAAATATGACATGATTACTGAATGTGTTAATTCGGTCACGTTTAAAGAATTCTACGTTGTGCCCTATTTCAGCAAGCTGATTATTTTCAAAACAACTGATCATCATCGGAGACAATCGTTCATTTTCAATAACAATGCAATCAGATGTTGTTGTTTTTCACCTGACGGATCTTTTTTGGCTGCCTTTACTATCAGCAACCTTGTCAACATTCTTATTTGGAACATTGAGAGCTGCGCCATTGTTCAAATTGAACCAATGCAACTGAAGAATGCTTTAGGATGCTGGTGGTCAGATAATTTGCTGTGGATATGGGATGGTTCTGATCATCTTACAAAGATATCGACTTCTTCTGACTACTTTGTTGATTTGACAAAGGCGAAACAGGTAAACATTGGATTCCAACCCAAGCGAATCTTAACATTTGGTGATGTCTTCGTTTGCATTGACCAAAAAGATGTCGTTCGAGTTGTTAAAATTAGCAAGGGCGAGATACAATACAATAAAGAACTTCCTATCGATAGTCTGGAATTTAAAGTAGCTGTATCACATGATTATTCTGTGATTTTCACTGTAAACAATACAGAGTTTACAATATGGAAATGGAGTAATACTAACAACGAACTTTACTTGGAAGCTTGGCACACTGAAGAAATAACGTCTTTCATTGAAAAATTTGTACCAAAACTGATAACTATTGAAAAGATCCACTTCAATTGCAGCTTTACGGAGGAAAGTAAACAAGCGATCCTTTTATTCTCTTTCAAGGTGATTCGTTCAGGATCACGACAGGGAATCTGTCTTATTGATGTGCATTCGACGAGTAATGTGGACGTAATTTGGTCCAATGAGAAATTTCCAGACAAGGCCTTATTTGTTTATAAATCGTACTGCATTGGAACAGATTTATTTCGTGGAAGTGGTAAATTGGATTGTTTGATCGCTCAAGATTTAAAGAGTGGTAAAAAGTGTGTTAGAATTTTTACATATGACGAGAATGTTTATGACCCTCCTATGATAAATATGCATTCTGCAACTGGAACTGTCGCTTTAGCAACAGATAGTGGATGTGGAGTTGAATTTTTTAGAGTAAATGTTCCTGAATGAATTATAATTATTATTGATCAGTGTCTGAGCTTTTCGCATATGAACATATGAAAAACATGTTGATATCTCTTGACAAAGACATAATACTTAAATTGTTAAATATCCTTATTTAGAGATACATTTTTTGTAGGTATTGTTAACCTGTGGAACGCTTTACCAGAAAACATTAAGAATTTTTCATTTTTAGCTATTGAAAAACCCCCAACTATATTCATTTATATATTATTATATTGAATAATGTTTTTGCACCGAACAATGTGCGTATAGATAAAAGATAATCTGTCCTAAATGGAGGAGATTAAAAGCCATTGCTTTAGAAAGTACACTTTAATGATTTCACACGATGAGGTGATTAAATTAGATTGTTTTAAGCTGTTTATGTGGAGAAAGTGCAAAAGATTTGCGTTGTTTTTTGAAGACAGTTTACCAGCTAATATCGTTACGAAAGTGAATGTTTTTATAACTCATAAATGGATGCGAGGGTGTATCAATTAAAACAAACCCATATACTTTCATTATTGTGCATGCCAGCCACTGTAAACTAGCATAACAGCCAGTGCAACTTTTCACACTCTTGGGATTTTGAAATAAGTAGGTATACAAAAAAGGAGGTTTTTAGAAAACGAGATCATTTTTGACAGTTGACACTAACCATTATAAGCCCTCCAATGTATAACCTAGGACTATAGGCGGAGAGTTCCGGTATACACTTTATTAAATATTTTTCGTTGACTAGTAGTAAGTTCGTTGGTAGTTGCTGCACATGCGAAATCGAAAAAGTCTGTTAGTGAGTGTCTGTCGAAATGATTGATTTCCATTGGTTTACCTCGATAAAAAAAGGAGCCTGGAGCCGGTTGTCAAATATGTGGCTTGTCAAAGACATAGGAAACAGTGAACTGTATATCACAAGGACCTTGCTCCAGTTATAATATGTACTGTAGAACTCTCGAAGGTAGGGGTTAGCATTCTTTTTCTCAGTCCAAAGAATGGTATGCGTTTTTTGGATGCCAAAATCGATTCCCGTATGTAAGCTACAGTGGCCGACTATGATTTTTTCACTTTTTTGTATATTTTATGCGTATATACTATAGGAAATACTATCACAATCTAATTGTTGAACAATACTTTCCTTTTTATCGTAAATTGAGATGGTTTAAGCTACTCGTACTCTGCAAAGCATGTTTGTGTTGCTTTTATACTCATTCAGTAAGTTATAAGTCCGTGAGTCATTGCTTGATAAAAAGACCTTTTTCGTGTTTAATTCAACTGCTAACAGAACTTTTAATTCAAAAAACGTATCTATGTCATCCACACCGGAAAAATGGTAAAAATGGTAAACTATGAATGGTTTCAGTTGTTTAACTGAATTCCAAAGGTTGCGATTACTGTCTATTCATGAATAAGAAAACACAACAGAAAAACAACCTTTGAACTATTGTTTACATGGCGATTATTACAAATATGTTTGTATTTTGAGAAAATCTTTTGATTTGCATTCCATATAGGTGTAACGTTTAATTATTTGATAGCTAAAACAAGTAAACGTCAGAATCATAGAATATGGAAAGAAGGAAGAAATGGCTTTACGATGGATTGGATTGAGTGTAGTGACCATTTTGTCAAACTGCTCTTGGCGAAACGTTTATTCAAGACGATTGTTTTCAAGTGAAAAATCACTGGAAAAGTTTTCAAGTGAAAAATCACTGGAAAAGTTTTCACATTAAAAGTCCGGGGCCGGATGCACGAAGCCTGGATAGCGTTATCCATTGGATAGCAAAAATCTCCAAACTTGTAAAAAAGGTGTTTAATATTTTTCTTACGACAACGAAATTTCGTAATCTCAGAAACAAGATTTTCTTTCAGTGATTGTTCAGTTTGAATCTTATACTTTTTGCTTATTGAAAGGTTTTATAAAAGCTTAAAAAACTTGCTATCCTTTGGATAACGCAATCCAGGCTTCGTGCAACCGGCCCATGAGCTTGATAGGAAGATTATGACTAATGCATTTCTGAAATGAGCCTAATTTTACCCACATAACTACATCAACTAACAATTATGTCTAACTACCTATAAATCTACAATAACTACTTTTGAATTTTGTATCATGTATTTTCAGCTCATCATTTGAAAATACAGTATCAGTAATTATAAATAAAATATTTACTGACGCAACTGGGTAAAATACATCACTTCGAATGAAATATACAATATGTACCTTCTATACCTTAAACCAGAGCATGCTCAATTAGCTTATCAATGTTTTCATATATGTTTGGTCTTTATGATTAAGAAAAAACAGAAGTTTTGTCATTACCAAACTCAATTTTTTATGCTAAATTAAAATTGAATCAGATTCATATGTTTGTACAAACAGTAGCATTTGTATCAAATAAGATTAATCTTCTACAACAGAATTGTTTCATAATAGCCAAACAAGAAGTTCCTTTTCAACAAATGCCTCACAAATTCTTTAACACAGAATCCTATAGTAAGTGCATTGGAATTCAACTTTAACTATTATCACTGGTTCACAGGAAAAATGAAAAAACATCTTCCTCACATCAGATCAATAGAACATTAGAGAGCTACTATATTTAACAAATATTTAATAACTAAAAAAGTCCA